AGCGCGGCTTCTAGGCCGCGCGGATCCCCCCAGTCGACGGGGTTCCGTAATGTCACACTAGGGCGGCAAGGAGCCGAGTGCCGGATGATTAGTTTATGGTCTAGATCATTGTATTTTTATTACACTCATAAAATCTGTGTTTTTCCTCATTTTCGTAATGGCTTCCATGAGCTTCTCCACCTTCTGAAGGCACATTAAATTGTTATGTGATGGAAGTACCGATTTGGAGGAGCAGGTTTGAAAGCCTGAAAAGCTTAGCGTAAGAAACACGCTTTGAATTCTCATCTTGTTGTTGGATGGACACTAAGGAGAAAGGAAGTGCGCGAATTTGAGCATAATTCATATTTATCTGTGGGCTTTTCGTAAATACTTCAGTTGGTTCCGTTAGCTTCCAATGTAAATGATACACAGTGAGGTGCCCTATTTCAGCCCCATGAGAACATAAATCAATATTAAAAGAGGAAAATATCATGTATATGTCTGGTTTTTAAAATATGAATGTGGAATTCAGTAACATGCACTACAATGACAGCATTTTATATTTGAGATATGAGGGTTTTTTAAATAACAAGATCTTAATTGGATTTTTGTATCTGTTTTTAAAAGAAATAGAAACTGTCTTGGATACCAAATTTACATCTAAATGCAGTTGCTTACAAACATTTCTGCCAAGTTAATGTAACCCATTGCAGAAAAAGCAGACCCTCTTCACTCTATAATTTAATATGCTAATAAAAATCTACACATGCCACATCAGTGTGCCCCACAGGATTAATGGTTTTGGGTAATTAGGCTGTAAATGTTAAGATGGAGGCTTAGAGCCACAAGTAGCCAGTTGTGTTTGCAAAGAAGCGAGGTCAGAGGGCTTTGTGTCTTTGTCATTTCTGTGTGTTTAAATGTGCTTTTGTTTATTGTGTTTCAATGTGGCTAATAAGAATTAGTAAATCAATTTGGTATTTGCTTTAATCTGAATAGTGTTGCCATATTTCGGTATAAACAAATGAAATTGCAGCAGTACAGTGCTGCTTTCCGTGATGTACTTTGAAAAGAAGCCTTTGGGAGACTGCTTCTGATAGGACAGCAGCTTCACAAAGCAAAACGTTTCTCTAGGTGAGCAAAATGATGCCAGCCACCAGCAAGCGAGGGTGTCGGCCGAGTTCCACTTGCACCACCTGGAGAAGCGCTGGCTGTTATGTGTGGCATTATAGTTTCCCTTATAGATCAAAAGTTGGAAAGCCACACAACTGAACCTAGAACTGAGGAAGCTCTAAATGGCATGGGATAAATTTGCGGGGATTTCTAATATTTCATGGAACATGCAAAGTATGGGCCAGTGCATTCAGAGACACTTAGGCAGCTGCGGAGTAAACATGTCTGAGAAAATGAAATAAATGTCCTATGAATGGAATAAATTTGGACTGTGCTTCCGAGTGCAGTAATTACACATGTCACGCGGTGATGAGACAGTCACGCGGTGGCCACGGGCCTTCTTTGTCCACAGATGGTGTGGGAGAGCGGCTGCGTGGTGATCGTCATGCTGACGCCCCTCACGGAGAACGGTGTCCTACTGGCCAGATGAAGGCTCCAACCTCTACCACATCTATGAGGTACTCGGACCAGAACCACCCAGGCCAGGACCCGCCAGCTGGACAAGGAGCACTTGGGCCCCGCTCCTCCTCTGAATGGGATTCGTTACGGCCCCAGCAGCCTGGCCCCGTGCAGGGAGGCTCAGCGCCCCCATGTTCAGGGGATGGAGGCCATACTGCCCGTGTGGATGCTTCACACGGCTGTGTGGTCATGAACCCTGGGAATGTGGTGTGGTTTTTATTTTTTAGATTTTCTAAATCCAAATGCTGACAGAGTAGAAAAAACATTTGCCTCACAGCATGGTCCTGGTCCCATATAACAGGCCTTTAAGTGGGGTCCGTCTTTAAAAAGAACCTGGCTCCCCTCCTTGATGCCAGTGCCTGAGCCGTGTGGCCTCCCCGTGGCTCTGCTTGGAGTTTTGTGGCTGGACCATGTGACCTTTTTATTTGAGGATAACCTGCTGACCAGTTTATTTATCTCGCCGGATTTTCTGCCCATGTCAAGAATGAACTAAATAAACACAGGCAATTAAGCCAGCACTAGAATGCATGCTTTGATTCTGTTTGGCATTAAACGGAGTGAGAATGCCGAAGCTCCACAGGGGGAAGTGAGTTAGAGGCTTAAGTGTGAACCCTAAGCCACACAGCTGTGGCTTTGGGGTTCCTGCAGAAACGCTTAGGCTGGGAAGTGCCTGCGCTCGGGTTCACATCAGCGCGCCTCGTGAGCCTTTTGCTTTTCCTGCTCTAGATCCAGGCGTGCACATCACGACGGAGTCTCACTTAGAGTGGAACCATTTAGCAGAACACATAGTTGTGTCGCTGGTTTTGTTTAAAAGTGTAATTTTTCTCTGGTTCCTTTTTTTGAGGGTTTATATAACACGGACATGCAAAAGACAAAAAGTAGGATAGTTTTGGATTGTAACTTTTAAAAAAATTATGTGATGCTCAAGCCCCTAAATAACATTAAGCATACACACTCACACGGAGCTATCTTTAGCGTAAGTGTTAACATTGGGAAGGTGGGAGGGGGCCGTGAAGCCGAGGGAACCCCCCTGCGCTGTGAAATGGGGCCTCTTTGCAGCACCCCCTTCTCTCATCAGACATGGCCCTGGGCTCCTCAGTGCCTGCAGTTTGGTTCACGATGTCCACACCTGTCTCTGTCCCCCTCCCTCCTGCCCTCCCTACCTACCAGGTGAACCTGGTCTCCGAGCACATCTGGTGCGAGGACTTTCTGGTGAGGAGCTTCTATCTGAAGAACCTGCAGACCAACGAGACACGCACCGTGACCCAGTTCCACTTCCTGAGTTGGTATGACCGAGGAGTCCCCTCCTCCTCAAGATCCCTCCTGGACTTCCGCAGGTATAACGCACAGCCCGCCGGCCGGGCAGTGTGCGCTGAGTGCGTGGCGGAGGGGGAGTGATGCCAGGTTTCTGTGCTTCTAAGATGCCCCTCGCGCCAAGGGCAGCGTCTGTGTCAGCACCGCAGGGGGAAGGGAAGGGAAGCGAGAGGTGGGAAGGCTCCATTAACGGCACGTGTTAATTGTGAGCGATTTTCTAGTTTCAGACGTATTAAAATGTGAGGGAGAATAGGCATCTTAGAATTGTGGAAATAGGGCCATTATTTTTGATAAGATTCTTCCACTGACAAAGAGCCTAACGTGTATGAGCCACAGGATACTGACGAATAAAGCTCGGATTTTTGGTTGGATTCTCATCTGGCTCCGCGGTGGAAAGAGGTAACAAGTGCAGGCCCAGATACCACCCTGGGTGGTCTTGCAGGAAAGCCCAGAGACACTGAGCCTGTGGCTGTCTATATTTTTAGGGCTATTTTGAAACTGACCTTTTTTGTTCATTGCTCCAGTCCGCCAGTCACCCAGTAAGTTGTCTGGTTTTAGAGTGTATTTATTGAACTGTTGAAATGAATGCTAGACTCTGTCTTACAGGAAGAAATTGACAATGAAAAAAAAAAGCAGCATTTAAGACCACAGCTTTGATTGTGATCAACAGTCGGTCCACACTGGCTAGGTGGCGGTGCTTAGTGAATAAGCCACCACAAGGAAAATGAAATTGTCAACAGCATCAATGACCAAACTCTAAATTGTTTAGAATATATCTTACATTTAACTGATCAGAAGTCTGCCTGTTGAGGAAAAGAGATAAATATCCAAACAAGGAGAATAAGAACAAAATGCATTTTAATCCAGTGCTGTGCCCCTCTATCATAAAGTGACTTGATTGTTAACAGTCACTCATCCTTGGGTCTACAGTTATGTCACTGGAGGGAGGTTAACAAGACAAGGACTGTCGTAAAGAAGGGATTTTGGAATTCTCTGTGGAATTCTTGAATTTCTGTATTACAGGTTCTGACGCTTATTATGATACAATTTCTTTTGCCTTTTAGTCTACATTGAAAAGCAAAATACAGTTTTTTGTAATTTGAATCAATAGCAATCAATCAAGAGCCTCTCCAAGGAGACACACGAATCTGGCGTCGCAGCCACAGCACACACTCAGTGGCCCCTGCCTGCCGTCACCTTCCCTGGGGACGCAGAGTGTGGATCCAGAGTCCTGAGTACATCCTAAAACAACTACTGCACACAATTCCTTCCTTGCCCACCCTAATTTCCTGGCCATTATGTGCATTTTCTCAACACAGATTTATTTCTAAAGACATACTATGTAGAAATCTTACATAATTTCCTGAAATAGAGTCTTCAAAAAGCGGTCATTCCTGGCAAAATGGATGTAGCTACAAAGACAGCAATTCATCTTAACACCCCGTCTTTGTGTTCATCCAGTGTGTTTGCACATATATGCATATGGGCACGTTGCGACGTCCATATCCATATATGGACTGGAACATATACATCACCAACCCTCTGTGTTTACGATTCATCACCAAGAAAAATTGAATTCCCAAATTTCCCTTGTTCCACAGTCTGAGGAGATACAGCCTAAGGTTTTTGTTAAATTCAAAAGCTAATGAACCCCCAGACACGGTTTTGAAAGCCACGTCAGAGTAGAAAGCTTTTCTTGCCTGCCTTACCTGGCACTGCCCAGCATTTCAGCCAAGGCCGCCTTTCATGTGTTACCTGGACGGCGGGTTTGAGTGAAAGCTTCACACTTAGACACGCATTGCCGGTGGTGGATTTTCTCTATAAAATAGCCACCCCGATTTCTGCAACCGGAGAGGTGAGACCACTTCTGAAGACACCGGCCATCTTCATGCTGCAGGGTTTCTTATCTTTGAACAATAGACAAGGCGTTCTCACTCTGGCCTGGCGCCTTCGCCAGGCACCGAGATGTGTAATTAAATATTTCTGGAGCCCAGAGGGAGCACATTTACACTTTAAAGAGAAACTGCTAAGAGATAATTAGCATCACATGTGAGGGCTTTGCTTTAAAAACTTCTCTCTGTCTCTCTCTGTCTCTCTCTCTCTCTCTCTCTCTCTCTCTCTCTCTCTCTCGTATTACTCTCTCCCTTCTTGCTGTGTGCAATGGCGCTCACTAACGCTGCTCACGGTAAAACGGACAAACCCTTACCTTGCCAGCTAATTAGCGGTGGCCAGTGTCATTTTTGTGATGTTGCAGCTAGTAATATGAGCCCAGTTGCATAGTCACAAAAGTGATCATTGGAAACTGTGACTGTCCTGCAGGGGGCGATGTGGGAAGCCCCTTTCTGAGACTCTAACGACCTCTGACCTTGCTTGCTGGTGCTTTGCATGACGGTGCACTCTCGCCCGGTGACCCGGGGGTTGGTTTGTATCACTAATCGTTCTTTCTCAGTGAATTCCTGTTGCGGAAGTTTCTATAATATCAACTTTTCTTACTGTGGGAGACCTTTTGCTCACTGATACTTTGTTCTGATGGAGTCAAATGAGGCAGCTGTGTCACCTTCCTGAATAATCCATGGTCTACAGCTTGGGTCAACTGGATGAACTCTTGTGTTCAATATGTCGTGGTTTTGCCTCTCTATTTGTGATGCTTTGCGTGTAACAATACAACTGCAGATCTTTGTAAATAAAGTCCTCAGCTGTGCCACACCCTGTATCTACACTGCACATGTCCTTGACTGCCTGCGGGTTTTTGTAAAAAAGTTAAGCACAAGGTGGGGGCTGGTACGGATATGAAAATTACAGCGAAACCTTCCCAAGGCCACCAGGCACAATATGTCAGAGAAAATGGTATCTTACGTACACCGTGAGATAGACACAGGAGTTTCAGGAGTGGGGAAGCAAGTCGAGGCCATCATAGCCACAAATTCACTCACTAGGAGCATTTCCCAGCCAGGGGGGTTATTACTGCATTTTGCCAAAGCAGGAGCTGGCCATAAGCCACCGCTGTCTACTGACTTCTTACACTGGCCTTTCCTCAAACCAGCACACGTTCTTCAAGCGCACCTGGTTTGGGGGTTGGGGGTTGGTTTGTTTTACTGTTCCTTTTTTTGTGTACTTGGTCTCATGAGGAAAAAATGAGCAACCCCTGGTGACTGACAGGTGTGGACTTCCAGAAGCTGAGTTTAGTCTCTACGTAGAGTGGACCACAAGGCATGAAACACAGCAGGAAGCTGGAGGAACAGAACTGAGGTCGTTCTCATTTGCAAGATTCAGAGGCTGAGCCATGGCCAGTAAACTCCTCTGCCAAAGGCAAAAGGCCTTTCAAAGCAAAGCCACTCACCATTTGGTCTGACAGTTGAGCCTGCTTGATTCTACATGTGCACACGTGTGCACATGCGTGCTCATGTCATGCACATGCGTGCAGTCTCATGCGCACACACATGGTCTTTACCGAGCTGGAGGGCTTCCCACCCCCATGCTGGGGTGCACCCCTGGGGCCTGGTATCCATTCCATCATCAGGAGCCCTCGATGCTTCACAGCCTGAGTCAGGAATGGGACATTTTAGAAGTAGACATGGTGGGTCTGTTTTCCAACCTGTTTATTCTCCAGGGACCAAGAATGTTCAAGGCCTTCTGGCATACAAGTGCTATTACCTTTAAGGAGTTCACTGTTGTGTTCCCCGCCTCTCCCCAAAGCCTTCACACCACCATGTGCCCCAGAAGCAACAGACACCTCTAACAGAAACGGCGATGCGGCCCTGGAGGCCGTTGCTGGTTGTGCTGTGTCTGAGCCCGCCCCATTTTCAGGCATCAGCCTCGTGTTTCACAGACCAGAGGGCAGCACAGATCAAGTGCCTCCTGGCTAGGCTGTGACCGCGGCCCATCTGCAGGTGGGCATCCCGAGTCCAGGCCCCGCAGCTGCTCCTTTAACTCCTGTTGTGCCCTCCACACTGGGCATTCACACTCCCGTCAGAAGGGCCTTGTTCTGATAACTCCTGGGGGAATAGGAAGAGAGGAGGAGAAAGCTCTGTGGTTTGGGTTCCGCCGTATTCAAGCATCCCTCCACTCATTGCTCACTGGACACTCACCTCCCCTCTCCCTCCACGGCCACCCTGCCCCTTCTGGCTTCAAAGGTTTGTAGAAAAGCAACCAGTTGATGGAATGTTTACTTTCCACTGACTATTTGGTGCTGAATAGGCAAGCCTTTGCAAAGAAACGTGACATTTTCCCATTTACGGTCCATACTTCCATTTTTTTACATTTGTTTCTTGTAGGAGTTCACGCAGCACATTTTAGAACACATCCCTTTCACACATGCTTTATTCCAATAACCTGAGATTCTGTCTTTAATTTTACTTATTCAGAAATAGTTCACTGACAACTTTAATGGACTACATAAACAGGTTTAGTTGTTTCACTTAATGTAAAAAAAAAACCTGGAGTTTACAGAGTGAATCTTAAATCAGCCCTCTGTTTTGATTTAGGGGTTGGTTATGAAATCGTAAATGTATGCTCATTTCTAATTTTCACGACTTCTGATCTGAACTCTGCACAATGAAGTTGTTTGTATACTCGAAGCTGTAAACATGGAAAGGACTTGTCTTGGACTTCATGGAGGTTTCTCCGTAATTTAGATATCCCTACCAAAAGCTGGCAGGCCACAGATGCCCTTGAAGATGCTGTTTTTAGATAGTACAGAAATAACAGTTTCCAATACGATGTCTGGACCGTAAGAAATGTTGAGCATAAATTGCAAAATTCAAAAATTTTAGTGAAGAATCAAGATGTAGTGTAACGAAAGGTCAAGACAACATAAGCAGAAACAGAAAGAGGAGAGCCTGCAGGGGTGGGGCGGGCGGGACAGGCCAGGAGTCCACTGGTTCAAAGCCTGGCACCCCTCCTTGAAAGGAGAAAGCAGTGTAAAGGGGTAACATTGGTTTTAAAGCTCCGATTAATAACGTCATGTTGAGAAGAAGAATAAATGTTTGATATTATGTGTATAATTTTCATTTTCTCTGTCAAAACAAGCGATTGCAAAATGATTTCAAACACACAGACCTTGGGCTTTGTTTTAATAGTTGTTTTGGATTAACGCAAAGTCTTAGTACACAACTAAAATTTTTATCTCTCTTTTTATTTCAGAAAAGTAAACAAGTGCTACAGGGGCCGTTCTTGTCCAATCATTGTTCATTGCAGGCAAGTACAACTTTTAATGAATTAAGAAGTTTTGGCTACCTCAAAAAACAATCTATGCAAGAAGCTTAACTTTCTAATTGCTTAATAACTATAACTAACTGGCACTTCTAAAGGAAACCAAACATATAAACTTACTTTTCTGTGCCATTTGGGTAAATACAACTGGGCGTTGCTTGTATTATGTGTATATAATGGCTTGCTTTTTTTTTGCTAAAATGCACATGGCTTCCTTTTTTTTTTTTTTTTTAAA